ACACTAATCTTTTATGAATACTCAAAAGCCATTTGCTGGGGAAAATCTAATTTGTCAAACATGTTTTTGAATGCACATTTAACAATGTCCTCTCAATTAAAAAAACAACAACACCTTTTCATATTCTATAGAATGGAAAATGCTTTACAATTAAATAAAATATTGACGTCATCTTTAGCCACCTCTGAAAAAGCAGATTGAAACCAAAAAAAAAAAAAATCTTACCCCATTCAGCTTAAATTGAGGGCTTCATAAATATGAAATAAAAGAATCGAGTTTTGAGTCCTCATAATTATAGCAAATTGGTTTTCCTCCCTTAAGAGTTAATCTTCAAAATTAGAGCTAAGCTTAAAAAATCAATTACATTTCTAGCCCTGGCTGGTGTATCTCAGTTGTTTAGTACCTTCCTTTGCACTAAAAGCTTTCCAGTTTGATTCCTTGTCAGGGCACATGCCTGGGTTTTATCCAGATTCTGGTTGGGATAGGTGCAGGAGGCAGCCAGCTGCTCTCACATTGATGTTTCTCCCTCTCCCTTCTTCTCTTTCTAAAAATCAGTAAAAAAATCTTTTTAAAAAAAATCAATTACATTTCTGAACTAAAAATCTATAGTGTAAAGCAGTAAATTTTCTCTATGAAAATAAAAAATAGTTTCATTGCATATTAAAAATGCATGTTGCAGTTAAGTGCTTATGATTAACAAAAGGTGCAATACATAGGAGAACAGGATAAGTTGTTCATCTTGGAATAGGATGTTAGCGTTTGGCTATCTAGGAATAAAAGATACAGTCCCAAATTTGAAAACAGTAATCATGCTGTGTAACCACTCCATTCCCCAATCTGCCCTCGACTGGACAAGCTGCGCCCTGTTCTTTATCAGGAGGCTCATGAGTGCTTTCAAGTGTGCTGGTGCTGTGGGGCGATGCTGCAATGCTGCGATGCTGCTGAATGCTTCCACCTCTAAATTCACAAAAGGCATTTCAAATAGATGCTGGGCCCAGGCATTTAAACTAAACACTCCTCAGAGGACTCGGTATTCTGTCTACAAACCAGGCTCTCCCAGTTTCACGGGACAACAATGTGAGATTTTAATCTTTTGAACAATGTACATTTCATTTTATTTAGAAAAAAAGAAGAGAAAAAAGAATCGATGCACTGTTAGTGCTTTTGCTAGAAGGCCTGACTTCATTTTCAGTCCAGGAAGATGGCCACTTAGTACCTAGTTCTCTATCGCCATCTACAGGCCAAGTGTCCCTAACACCAAATCCCTAACCCAGTATCACAATTATTTTCACCCTGATTAATATGGATTTGTTCTGTCAGACTGAGACGCTATGTTTGCATGATAAAAATGCAAAATAACTTTAAGCATTTTGAAAATTATTGGTTAAAATAATAAACAACATTAAATGAGGAAAAATAAATCGAAACTGACATCTTAGTCATCGGTTCTTCATCAGGCTGAGCCAATCTAATAATGTCTCCTTCCCTCCCTTAGCTCTCAAGAAGTCCACCGTTAAAATGTCATCTCTAATTTCATTTTATGTCTATAAATTGCATTTTAATAACATTTTGTTTCCTTGTTTCTGTTCCGTTGTTTTTTTTTGTTTATTTCTTTATTTAATTTTAATTTCCCACCTACTTGGCAAAGGTAGCAGAGGAAATGGAGTCTTTCTGAGAAGTACAATGTTGCACTTTTAAGCACAGCAGAGGGTTTCCCCCTAATCACATTGCCTGATCTAAATGTAAGAGTATCCTTTTTCCTTTTAGAAGGACCGTATGATCCTCGTGAGCCTCCAATTACTCTTTTAGCCTACTCAAGGACCTTTTGCAACCTTCAAATAGGTATCACTTGTCCTTTCTTAGGCCTCAATAAGGTTGGGGGCGGGGGCAGAGAAGAAAAAAAACAACAACAAAAAACAAAGATTCAGAATCACGCATGCATATTAAACTATGCTCATATAATACATTACACCTGAATCTAGAGTCTGTTTGTTATGATAGTTGGTTTTTTTCTTTCCTCTGAGAAAGAAAAAAATGTCAAATTCTTTTGTAAGCAACATTAATCTCCAGTAGATAGTTAGGTTTCTAGAGAAAGAGAAATACCATTTAAAGACTAATGCTTTAATTGTTGATTTCCTGAAAAAAAGAAAAAGAAAAAAAAAAACACGCAAGCTGATTGATACTACATTCTAAATAGTATTTTTAAAAATTTGAAAGGGTATAAAAAATTCAGTCCTAGGATAGAGGTTGTTTAAAATAAAATACAAAGAAAAGAAGAAGAAAAAATAAAATATAGTACTTGATAGCCTCCAGGGAGAAGTAAACATGCCCATGGGAAAAAATTATGTCTGAATAAAATTTATGCTGAAATCAGTTTTTTCTATATCCATCAAATAGAAGTCATCACAGTGTTATATTCTTTATAGAAATTTGGATCATGTGGGTGAATTAATAATTAGATTACATCATTAAATTGTCAAATGGTTTTTATGAGCCTATTCTTTCTATCTACCACTTAGATTCTGCCTCACAACAAAATATTGTTCCTTTGCAGTTACACTTTAGTTTGAGTTGGAATATTATTTAATTCCAAGTAATTAATACTTTTTTCTTGTGGTAATCCTCTGAAACTCTGCTTTTGCACTTTAAGAATGGGAACACTGTTATAGAGTATAAATGGACTTAACCAGTACCATTCTGAAAGATAAAACAAAGGCAGCCACACTGTCCAGTTCATAATTCCCAGCCCTGTCCTGAGATTGGTGACCTTCTCATCCTCCCTCCCCCCACCCCCAGGTTCTGATAGAGAGTATGGACATTTATGAGGAGAAAGCATTCTGGAGAAAGTGCATATATGATGGTAGGGCAGTTTCTCCAGAAACAGCTCTGAAATTAACAGTGATATTCTTTTTCATGCTTGAAATATTAATGAAAATAGTCAGCATGTGAATTGTGCTTTAAAGTTGACAAGGCACTTTTTCAGATACTTCTCCAAAAAGTTAATTATTTTGTGTCTTAATTAAATTGATAATTATTTTTTAAATTTTTGTAGTGGATAAAGAAGATTAGGCATGCAACTAATGCGTAACTCAGCATCACAAATCCCATTTTATAATTTGTAAGTCTATTAGCAGTTTGTATAGTTTCCATGGAAATATGTTAGTGATGATCTAAGAAGCTGATATTAAATTGCATTCAAAATGTTCCTATTATGATATTTAGGGAAAAATCCTTTAGCATCTGAACTTCAAAATGCTAACTGGAGTTTTTTTTAAAATCTACTTAGAAGAAGTTTTAGGTTTTGGAATTTATCCAGATTTGATTAAAGTAGGATTTCCCTTCATATCTGTGTCATTTGTCCATTGAAAAATTGTCCTGAAGTTCATGTCCTTAGGCATTATAAGATTCCCAGAATACCAAACGAACAATTATGAAACAACCCAGGCAAATTTAACCAAAGACAAATTAAAATTAAAAAAAAAAAACAGGAAAAAATGACAGTGGTAGACAAAGCACCCTCTCTAGCAGCTGTAAGCTCTCAACAGGAGCAGAAAAACAGTCCTTTTCATGGACAAGCGTGCTGGCAGTCCATTGCAAAATAAAATTGTGGAATCAAAATTTTTGATATAGACATATATATTGAATGAATGATGAAAACAGAGTATAAAGTGGTTTAGCTGAGAACCACTAGGAGATTGTTACTTTAAAAAATTACTGATAGAAAATGCTATTAACAAAGAATACCGACAATCTAGAAAGACATGGAAGACAATGTACTTCTACATTGAATTTCCTTAGAAGTACTAAAGAGAGAGGGCAAGAAGAATAAATTGCAATTTTAGATCCTTAGCAGCACTGAAATTCAGGTATACATACTGTTAAGTCTATTCATGAACTAGTTACTCACAAAAGGGTTCAATCAAAAACCATGAAATGCAAACAGTATAAGAAAATATATGCATGTATTCATGCCACCTGTGAAATATGGAAGCTCCTATCAAATATTTAGTAACCCAGATTTGGGATTGGTTGTATTAAATATATCAGTTACATATATTTAATCTTATTTGGAGCTACAGCACAACAAAAATAAAAAACAAAAATGCTGTAAACATAGTTAAATATTTAGTATTGCTGATGAGCATGAAGTACTATTTAGTAGCATAAATATGTTTTACCATTGGACAACATTGTATCTCATTTCTTTGTTTAAAAAGAAAAACAGCTTAAGTGATTTTAGATTGCATATACTATTAAAAAATGAAATTATTAAAAACAAGTAATCTGGGACTTGAATATCCTCTAGAATATGACACCAGCAAGTATGAGGTTACATTATATTTCTACTCAATTTAATCTTTGCCTAGAGCTGCTCTCAAATTGCATGTGGTGTGTGTCTGCATGTATAGAACAGAAAAAAATTCTGTGTAGCTACATCAATAAAATGTTAAATGTTAAAAATGAAATTTCTAAGGAGCAAGACATCGTAATTTCTTTGTGTGTTCACAGCGATTCAATTTCCCTGAAAATCTCACTGTGTAACCTTTCTGCTCTGTTTTGGCTTTTGTTTAGGTCTCGTACAAAGAATCATACTGTTTCAATTCTCTCTGCAATGTCTGTCGTGTTTCTCAGCTTCCCTTCCCTCCAAGGTCTTGGCAAAAGAACACAATGAACTGCTTTCCTCAGAGCTCTAAAGTTTGCCTTGGCACACAGTCCAGTGTGGGGGAGGTTTTCTGCTTTAAAAAATAAATCGTGAAATTAATATAAACTGCAAGACACCCTGGAGGTGTTGGATAATGATGTGACTACCCGGGAAATCATCAGCAAAAGCACGTGATGCATTTTAGCCTCAAGCTCCGTCAGTGCTTTAAACGGTTGAGCTGTCTAAAGAAATGACCCATCCGGCTGTCTCTGGGTGGAATTTCCTGAATAATGCTTGTCTCCTAGGTGGATTGCTTTAAAAAAAAAAAAAGTTATAGGTGGATATTTCAGATGCTTACTGCTATGACAGAAACTCCAGCTGCTGTGCTATTCGGCTTGGGGCCTGTGTTGAAATGCTTCTTTATCTTTCCAGCTACTGACAGCTGATGTTCATTTTCTGGGAGGCTGTCATCCTAGTCCGGGAGGGGAAGAAATAAAGGGAGGAGAAAAAGAAAAAAAATGAGATATGAGGAATATGAGGCCAAGATCTTCTAGTAACAGGCAGTAATCTTAACATAAGATTTCAGAAATAAACGGGTCAATGTCTTCTCATTAAACACTGTTGTTAGAAGTACTGCTCCAAGATCTCATTCATTTCCACATCTGCCCTAAAGTTAATTTGGTGTGTTATCTGTTCCTCAGAGTTCCCTAAATAAAAATGTTTATTTCTGTTGTTTCTATTGTAATAAAATAATTTCAATCATGGCTCCAGAGACATATATCAAAGTGCAAGTTAATCTGGACAACAACAACAACAAAACATCAATGTAAACATTTTTATTTTCTGATCCAAAAGTTTTACCCTCTTATCCCATCATTCTGACCCATACCCAAGGAGATTGACAGATTTAGGCACCTGAAAGCTACTCAATCAGCCATTCTATAACTCCAGACAACCTTCCAAGCAGAAAGTTCTTCCTTAAGTTTTAAATCCTCCTTGCAGCATTCAAATCGTCTGTTATGACATACTTCACATTAGAGCTCATTTTAACTAAGGCTTCTGTTGTCAAAGCTGTCTGCGATGGAGGCTGGATGGATTGCTCTCCTTGTTAAATACTGTTAGAATAAGAATAACCTGAGTCATAAGTATGTGCCATTTTGGAGACCAGAGACTGTGTTTTGTTCACTATGGAACACCCCAGGTCTTAACATATCACTTTGGCACATTGTAGATGTTTAATATTTGCAAAATAAAAGAATGGGTGTATAATAAAGTGTTTGTTACTATCTCTTAAAACCAAAGTTCCTGGCAGGATTTCAGTGTTATTATTATTTTCCTTCTCTCCTTTCTCTCCATCTTTTCAAACATGACATGCATACTCTTCTGCACAACCTGGACTCTCCACATGGGATCTACTTCTTTTAGCATTTACTTAAACATTTATTCAGCCAATATTAACAACATGTCGACAGTGGACCAGGCACTAGAGTAAGTGGAGGGGAAATGAAGGTGAGCAAAATAATGCATGGGCTTTGCACCTGTCATTGCTCTTTCTTCAAAACTTGGGTCCAAATCACCTATTCCAAAACACTTCCCCCTATTAAACACAACTCCTTTTAATGATTCTTCTGTAAACTCCTAATACTCGTTCATTCTATATATTTGTCTCCCTACTTACCGTATTTTCCGGCGTATAAGACGACCCCCTAATTTTACAGTTAAAACATAGGTTTAGGCCTATATTCGCTGTATAGGACTACCCCCCACTTCCGAGGAAACACCAGTTCTTTTTTTAATAGACCGCCTCTCTGACTCTGGCCAATCTGAGCAGGCTTTTTACTAGAATACAGTGTAGCTTCGGGTTGTGGAGGGTAGTCTTATACAGCGAATATAGGCCTAAACCTATGTTTTAACTGTAAAAATTAGAGGGTCGTCTTATACGCCGGAAAATACGGTATATTATTTTTGATGCTAGGTAATTTTGTAAGTATAACACACACACACACACACACACACAAAATAGTGATATGCAAATTAACCATCATTCTGCTATACCCACAAGCCACACCCATCAACCAATCAGAAGCGAGCATGCAAATTAACCCCAACCAAGTTGGCTATGGCCACAGAGTGAGAAGGAGGCTTGGGTTTCCCCAGCAATGGAGGAAGCCAAACTTTCCACACACCCTGGCAGGCCTAGGACTCCACTCAAGGCTACAAAGTTTCAATTATAAAAGATAAATAAATCCCAATAAAAATGGTGGCAGCCACCGAGCTAAAGAGAGCAGGAGGCTTGAGTTGCCCCTGGTGATGGAGGAAGCCAAGCTTCAGTAACCCTGGCCTGCCTTGGCCTCCTCCATTCAAGGTTACAAAGTTTCAAATATAGAAGATAAATAAATCCCAACAAAAATGGCTGTGGCCACTGAGCGAGCAGGAAGCTTGGCTCCACTCCATGCTACAAAGTTTCAATTGTAGAAGATAAATAGATCCCAGATATCAGGGCCTCCACTTGGGTCGCTGGGAGTAGCTGGCCTGCAAACCACCACAGGCCCCTTGCCCAGGCCACCCACACCCCAAGGGAACCCTCACTCTGATCCGGGACACCCTTCAGGGAAAACCAGCTGGCCCTCACCCATGCACCAGGCTTCTATACTATCTAATAAAAGAGGAATATGCAAATTGACTGTCACTCCAATACACAAGATGGCTGCCCCTATGTGGTCAAAGGTCCTGCCTCCATGTGGACACAAGATGGCCACCACAAAATGGCCAGCTGGGGAGGGCAGTTGGGAGGGACCAGGCCAGCAGAGGAGGAAAGTTGGGGGTGACCGAGCCTGCAGGGAAGGGCAGTTGGGGGTGGGGGGGACCCAGGCCTGCAGTTAGGGGCAAACAGGCTGTCAGGGGGAGCAGTTAGGCATCAATCAGGCTGGCAGGGGAGTGGTTAGGGGGTGATCTTGCTGGCAGGCAGAAGCAGTTAGGTGCAATCAGGAAGGCAAACAGGTAAGCAGTTGGGAGCCAAAAGTCCTGGATTGTGAGAGGGATGTCCCAGATTGGAGAGGGTGTAGGCTGGGCTGAGAGACACCCTACTCCCCCCCCCATGCACAAATTTCGTGCACCAGGCCTCCAATATATATTAGAGAGAGAGAGAATATATATATATATATATATATATATATATATATATATATATATATATTCTAAACTCTTGTTCTTTTATACCACGCCTTCCACATTTTCTGTAATTTTTAACAGATGCTCTTGGCTCAGTGCTCTAACACAGTGGAGTCTGAATTTATGATATTCTTGCATTGGTTTATTAATGGCTAGAAGAAGAAACAACTATTATGCTTAGTGACTCACATCTGAAACCAAATCTAGAATAAGGATGTTTGCAATGATGCAGAGTTAATTCAAATTTTTTTTAAGTCTTTATTGTAGAAAGAAATATAATGAAATCAGACAGCTAGGGAAGCAGTGGAATGACACTTGGGGAGGGAAGAGAAATGGCGACATATAAAGTGCCTGCTGTGTTAGGGTGGGGAGGAGGGAACAGTCTCTGCCGATCAGAGAACCTTACAAGCTAATTGGGAGATGCAGTATGGCCACATTTTCTCAAATAATAAACAGGTCACCGAGATGAGATGGAGCTGTCCCAGGCAATATAGCCTCATGGCTTAGCTAGAAACATGGAAGGAGTTCAGAGGAGAGAGGACATATTTTCCTTTGTGAGCAGTCAGCATAGACTTCATGAGGATTATGGGACTGGACCTGGTCCTTAATGATGGGGAACATATTGGCATGTAGAGAGACGGGAAGATGCGGTTTGGTGTACAGATGCATTTGAGTGGGAAGCTACAGGGCGTGTTTGCCAAACAATGAGTCAACCAATTTATCTCTGGTTAAGAGTTTTTATGGGAGAGTAATGGCAAACAAAGGGGAAAGAACAGAAGACAGGACACATATGAATACCAAAAAGATCCGAAGATTGAAGTCTTATTTAGGGATAAAGCAATGTTTTTTAGTAAGAGGAGTAGCAAGTGTGGAGGGCTACCACCCTTTACTCCGATGGTTTACGGTACAGTTTCCAGTCCCCAGCTCTTCTGGTGGGAGAGAAGTCCTGCGATAATCACAAAGATTAGGATTATGCCCATCAGAGTGTGAAACACTTTTTTAAAATGGTGGATGAAACAGCAGGTCCTTGGAATCTAAGTTAGAATTTTTGGGAATATTTAAACATTTGCCAAAAGATGAGATGATGTACCTTTACTGAAGGCTTTACAAATATGGTATTAGTCTCACATATCTGGCAAGGTTTGGGGTTCTGCCCTACCTCCAAGATTACAGAAGTAGTTCCAGTCACCTCTTGGGAAAGTTCTAGGCTATGTCAGGCAATTGTTTGTATGTGCTTTAACAAAGCAGATGAAAGAAACAATTTTCTCTTTAAGACAAAACAAACAAACAAAAACCCTTGGGTGTGTTTGAAGTCTCAGGGTCAGGAGCTAGTAGTGAGGAAGAGTTGGAAGACTGGAAAAGGCACCGATAGAGGGGGAATGAAGCAGTATGCCTTGGAGAGGTGTAGGTTTCTCTTTTCTTTGGGGCAAGATGAATTAAGGAGAGAAATGGTGAGGCCTATTTTGAGTGGAGGGGACCAAAATTAAAAGAGAAAGACAGAAAAAGGAAGGTGACACAGGTGTTAATTGCTTTGTGGCGTGTGCTAATGATTTACATATATGATCTCCTTAATCCTCAGATTATCCTCTACAACATGACTTGTCAGTTCCATTTCAAAAATAAGCAAACTGAGACTCAATAAGGTTATTTGCTCAAGGTCACATAGCTAGGTCTAGAACTGTGCATTCGTTAGCATGATATCTGTTACAAAAGGGCTTTCTAAGTGTTAAATGGAAATGGAGGGACTCAATGACTCTTCTTTTCCAGATAAAAAGTGGCACAATAATGAGGGGGTGAGAGAGTTGAATTAGGAGCTGAAAAGAATGGAATATTTGGACTGACCTGAGTGGAGTCTGGGAAGCATTTGAATGAAGGTCAGTTAAAGTGATAGTGAGCACATCGGGAGACCAATTGGATTGCAGTTAAAGCTTCTATGTCAAGGAGAGACTAGGTTTTCCCTAATCTGAGATAAGGCAATCCAACCTGTTAGGCAGGAGTTCTGAAATCCCATATTAAGCAGACTGTGCTAGAAGGCCAGGCTAAGAACGGATGACAAAGTAACATTGGGTCAGTGTGGGCCTGTGATTGGCACAGGCTGCTTAATATCCTGGGTACAAATACAGAGAAAAAAAAAATAGCTGCAATTCCATAGCAGCAGCCCCTATGTAATTTACTGAGGAAGATTTACCTTGCTGCTCAATCCTACCTCCTCACTTCCCCACCACTGGGCATCTTTACCAGAAATTTCCCTTTACCTGAGTTCTTTTCCCTGCCAGTTCTTGAACTAAGAGTTTGTTTTCT